GTAAATAAAAATGGTAAGTTTGTAAATATATTTTAACACACTGGTGTTTTGATTTCCAATGGATGCTTCTTTAAAATTTTATTTTACGCTTTGTCCTTAAAATTTTAATTAATACAATAACTGTACCTATTGATGGGGTGCACAGTAATGCTGCCAATAGATGTACATAATGTACAGCAATCAGGCTAGGGCAACTAGCAAATCCATCACATTAATCGTTTTTTGTTGTTTTGGAACATTCAAATTATAAAAATCTGTATAAAATTTTTCATACATTACTATTTTGAAATATGTATTTAATTATTGCCAATCATCATTACCCTACTGTGCTATTTTACTGGATTCCTAAGTGACAAAGACAGCAGATAAAAGGCTTATATATTTGTAACACATAATTGGATTGCTTTCAAAAACCTGACTGCAACAATTCAAATGCTACAAACATGAGTATGTTTTTCTCCACATCATTAACAGGCGTTATAACTCCCTTTTTAGTTGGATGGATATAATTTTAATTACTGTACATTTCTCTGATTTCTGACCAAGTATCTTTTCATGTTTATAAGTAAATATTGTATAATTATGTGGGTTGGGTTTTTATAAACTATTTTATATACAAGTTCTTGGTTTAAGATTTCAGTGTATAGTTTAATATGTAGCAAAATGTCTCTCCACGGTCTTCCTGCCCTTACGCTATACATGTAGACACAGACTTTCTCCGTAACTTGTGTCAGGGTACACAGGCTTAAACCGTATTTCTGTACCGTGTGTGAAGCAGAGGTCCAATCCAAATCTCTTCGATGGAAATCAATTATGCCGGATTTGTATACAAGTTTTCGTAATTTCAGAAGTAAACTCTGCTTCCTTCTGCGGCTCCACTCCCTCACCTACCACGTGAACCGCCACAATGACGGCAAAGTATCTGCTCCCATGCAGCTAGGCAGCTCTCCTGCACTGGTCTGCTTAGAACGTTCTCAGTTACAGCTTGCCTTCTTCTCACATTAACTTTTCTCACAATCTGATCAACTGAAAAAACTGATCAGGATTCAGACTCAAGTTATAGCAAATTTACTTATTAATTTTAAAGTAATTTATGCTTCTAAGAATGGGATGCAATGTACCTCTCCATTATTTAGATCTTGTACATGTTTAATGACGTTAACCAGTGTTTTCATGATTCTTTTTGATTTGTTCCTAAATTAATGCACAATTTTTATCATTACTTTAAATGGAAGTCCTTGTTATACTCCCCCCCCCCTTATTTCTACTTGCTGCAACGGAGGACAGTTATAAGTTATATACATACTTTCCTTGAATGAAGCCATCTCTGCAAATTCCTCTAAGCCTAGCAGCTCTTTAGTTGGGGGTTAAATTAACACACTTTCTCTGTATTACTAACTACATAAATTGTATCACCAAAGGGACTAATATAGTCTTACACATTATGTTTTATCTCACTCTCTTGTCTTTTCTACAACTTCACTTATGACTAATAACAAAATAAGCAGGCATAACTAATTTTTACATTTTAACTAAAATTGAGTTGCAGCTGATGACATTTACTATTTGTTTTTGTTCATTATATTTAGTAATTTCTGTCTGTACTTTTACTTAAAAGAGTATTTGTTTTTAATGAGATATGATTGTTGGGCTTTTATAAATCTCCTTTCATCATTTACTGACACTGGTTTTTCCGTTTTTTTGGGGGTTGTGGTTTTTTTTTTTTTTTTTTTGACACCAGGAATTCAACTCAGGACCTTACACTTGCATCTCCCCAGCCCTGATTTGTTAATTAATGTAAGGCCACTATATTATTGCTTTTACATGGAACCACTCTTGCGTTCCTATAAAAACTTCTGCTCAGTCTTGGTATATTCTTCTTTTGCTATATTTGTGGATGCGATTTGTTTATATCCTATGGTTTTAAAAATCAAGACTCAAATGTAAAATGACTATGTTATTTACCTCTTTTTTCTTTCTAGGTTTAAGAATTAAAATTATGCTAGGTCTGTACAGTGGCTTTGGAGGCTATCCAACATTCTAAACATTCTCTTACCCAGCAAATTTTCTTTTAAGGTTCTGTCCCAAGAAAATAATTATCGGGCTGGGGAAATGGCTCAGTGGAGTAAGCACTTCCCTGGCAAGCGCAAGGGCCTGAGTTCAATCCCCAGTTCCACCAAAAAATAAATAAATAAAAAGAAAATAATTGTTAATGTATGTGATCAGAGGAACAAAGAAATTCAATATACCACTGTTCATATTAGTAAACAAAAAAATAAAGGAAACCACCAAGAAAAGCAAAGAATTTTTCAAAAGTAAAGACTCCTGAGAAATACAATTAATGTAGAAGATTAATGCAATGCAACACTATAGCTTTGTATGTATAAAAACACACATGCATATCTACATATAACATTACGTTTCTCTTTCAGTTACAGGTCATCTATGTTCAGTTCTTTTCCCCTGTAACTACAAGGCTACTTCTTATATAATGACTAAGGCCAAACACAAATTTTGGTGTAATCAGCCACTAAGAATTTTCTGTTGTATTCTTTCTTAACCATCTTCCCTACAAGTCTGCTTCTCATACAGTTTTATATAAGTTGTACTTCACATAAGCACGATATGAGTTACTACAATGACTGCTCAATTATTAGTAACTCCAAACTAAAAAAGCTAGTGACTTGTTCTGGCTTTTCTAAGCTTAGAACTTTTAACTGCATTTTGGAAAGAAAAGATTTAATTATTACTGAATGCTAAATTACATGAAAACCTAGAATTGCAGAGCAACCAAATTACAATATAAATCGTACTAATGTACAAATTTTAGGTTAATAGAGGATTGGTATTTTTTCCTATAAAAGACAAAAATTAGATTTAAAGCCATTATTTTCTAAAATCTTTAAAGAATTACATGAGTATATCTGTCTAAAAGAACCTTCTCTTAACAATATTAACAGTCTCAATAAAAAAGTTTTCAATTACTTTGCCAGTAAGTAGCTATGGTTAAGAGAGTAATTTTCTAATACTTAAATACAGCATTTCACAACTCTTCCATAATTCAATTGAAAGAAACAACAAATAGTCAGATTCCACATTTATATGAAACATACCTGATCTTCATAACCTTCAATCTTCACTGGAGTAAACTGATCCAAGTTATACTGTGCAAATGCACTAAAAAAGAAAAAGGCCATGACTTAGGCTTGTGTTAATTTCTGAAAAAAATAATTTTATCTCTTAATAAAAGTCTCCTTTTATACTGTACATAGCTAAAATATTCTCTTAATAATGATTTTCCTTTTCTTTGAGACAGCAAGTCACTCACTGAGTAGCACAGACTGGCCTCAGCCTGGCTATGGTTCTGCATCAGACTGCTGGGTGCTGGGACTGGGGACATACATCACCATGAAGTCATGATCCGACACAATTTGTAATGCCATACAGAAGCTGTTCAGTCCATTTACTTATGAGCTCAGGGCCTTCACACTAAATCACATCCATGCACCTCTTCTTTTGAGAAAGCGTCTTACTAAGTTGCCCAAGCTGAGACTGAACTTGCCAACCTCTTGCCTCAGCCTCTTAGAGCACTGGGAATGTACTACCATGTCTAGCTGAGGGAGGGCTATTCCAAAAATTAACTCTATCCGGCCTTCAGTGTTTAGCAACATAAAGTTAAATCAGTAAGTATAACTGCTCTTTTCATTCAAAACTCTGAAAATAAACATTATTGATATATATGCAATTATTCAAGTACTATACATATTTAATAAACCAGGAAAAAGGCTAGGTGCTATAGTAATCAGAGACATCTATGATCAAAAGACTTACAATAGAAAAGGAAGAGAAAATGGATCAATATAACCATAACAAGATAGTACCATAAGAGAATTACTAATAATGCTCCGTAATAAAAAAATTTAATTTAGTTACGGTAAGACTAAGGAGAAGAGAACTGGGGCTAATGTCATAACGTATGTAATAAGGAGGAATGTGCTTTAAACACTGTCTAGGTTCTGGTCTTGTAGAAATGGGAATGAAGAACAAGAAAAGAGTATTTCAACCAGTGGGACCTGAAAGCGCCAACTTCAAAAAGTCTGCCACATAGCATAAGCCTTGAACAAGAGTCCTAGGAGCTTTTCAAGAAAATCAAAGGAGTACTTCTAAAGATTAATCTGGCAGCAGTATGTAAGCAGGTCAACTAGATCCAGAAAAGACTACTAATGTCATGCTAGAACTAGAGGGTCTAAGTTGGGACAGACTGAAGAATAAAGCCTCTCCCTCCCTCCCTCCACACGAGTGAATAATGCATCATCAGGTAATTATGTAACTCACCTCTAGGAAACTCTCATAGCATGACAAATTATCCAAAAATTATATAACATGCTGTACAGTATTCTATTAAACCTTCAAGTCAAGAAATAATACCCACTTACTAGAAAAGACAGAGAATTGTAAAACTTAGTAATTCATCTCTAACCTTAATCTACAGGGAAGCTTTTTAGATTTCTGTGGATGGTCAGATGTCCACAGAATTTTCAAGTACATTAAGTCCTCAACCTACAAACACTGGAGCTGTGAGCTTTCATGGCTGTACTGTACTGTTTAAGACTCATTTTCAGTTTCAGGTGAGTCTGACTTTTGAGCATTCTCATGGACTGGAATGTATCTGTAAGTCAAGACTTACTGCATTAACTTCTAAATCTCCCCCAAAAAGGAATGTCTTCTTGAGAAAAGCAATATGGATAAGTTGCATAGAAATATAGCAAAGCAGGTTAAACCACCATCTGTCAAATTCCTCACACAGCATTGTCAAGAAGATGGATGTAAATACAGAAGCACGTAGCGTGGGAGGGAGAGGGCAGCAGCTACTCAGTTTTAATTCATTAAAATTAAAATTTTTCCCAAGAATGGCCTCAATGTAGTCAGGCAGCCACTCACCTCAACAGATTCATTTCAAAAGTATGCTTGTAAACTACGTTTGTTCTGTCCAGAAAACTCCACGCACAAACTCATCATTCACTCATCTGCCCCTCCATCCACAGAAATATTTACTGAGGTCTTATTACTAAATACGAAGCACACCAGCAGACCCTGAAAACAATGGTTTTCCTGCCCTTTGAAGAGTTCCATAGCCCCATCATCCATTTCTAAGTGATCTGTTACTACAGATGTTTATACTCTAAGTCATTCGTCATATCACATCTAACCCTGTTCTCCATGCTTTCTCCTCAGTTTAGCCACTTCATTTTCCTTGTTCGTTCGTTCTTTCTTTCATATGTATTTAGGACAGGGTCTATAGGGTCTCACTACACAGATCAGACTCATAGAGATCCTCTTGTTTCCAGCCTTCAAGTGCTGGGCTTATAGGCACATGCCACCACGCCCAGCATGGCATGCCAGGGATTGGTCTGTTGAGCTATCTCGCAGGCCCTTATTTCCTTATTTAATGCTGAAACGCTGGTCATCATTGAAGAATGAGATTTTAAAAAAATAATAACTGCCAGACCCAGTCCTAGCCCAGGTCAAGTGAGTGTGTGGAGAGCTTCCTGCTACCCTGCGCCGGCGGGACCAGTCCCAGCCCAGGCGCAGCATGGGCCGGACCCTCTGCCAGCCCCTTGGGCCGCCCCCCACCACTCCGGCCGCTAAGTAGGAATTTCTGCCCAGTTCGAGTTCTGGGAACCCCCAGACCCAGTCCTAGCCCAGGTCCGGTGAGTGTGTGGAGATCTTCCTGCTACCCTGCACCGGCAGGACCAGTCCCAGCGCAGGCGCAGCGTGGGCCGGACCCTCTCCCACCCCCTCGTGCCACCCTGCACCACTCCACCGTACCTCCCCCACCACGCCCGCCGAGTAGGAATTTCTACCGAGTTCCGGGAAGCCCCAGACCCAGTCCCAGCCCAGGCGCAGCGTGGGATGGACCCTCTCCCACCCCCTTGGGCCGCCCCCCACCACTCCACAGCACCTCCCCACTCCACGTGCCAAGTAGGAATTTTGCGGTGTTCCGGGAACCCCCGGACCCAGTCCTAGCCCAGGTCCAGTGAGTGTGTGGGAGAACTTCCCCTTCCCCCTACTTCACCTTGCTCCCTCCAGGCACAGCTCAGGCCTAGCATACATGCCTGAGGTGTAACCCTGCAGCTGCAATCCCTGCAGAGAGGGTAGAGGATAGATCCACCCAGCTAGTCCAGGAGCAGAACATCTTGCCACCGGGGCACAACATATTTACCCTCTAGGGCAGCAGCGGGAAGGAGCTGAGCACAGCAGCCAGACCTAAGCCAGACGCAGCTGGGTAAGTCCAAACCTTGTAGAGCTGCACCGGAACTTCAGTACGTGCGAAGGTTATAACTACAGCAAAGATCTAACACAAAGGTCAGAAGACAGTGCTCCACAAAATGACGAGAAGGAACAAAATGCAACCTCAGAACCCAAGCCCACCCGTAACAAGTGCAGAGGACACTAACAGAACAAACTGGAAATCACACAGCTGAAAGCAATGAATCAACGGCTTCTGAAATAAAGAAACAGCTGCACAAAGATATAGAAGACCTCAGATTGGAAATGAAAAAAGAAATCCCTGAATGAATAACATCTGAACTAAAGAATCAAATGCAGAAACATATGGAAGCAACCCAGTGCCCACCCAGAACAAGAGCAGAGGACACTAGCTCGGCTCAAATGCATGAATTAAAAGCGTCCAGAGTAAATAAGCAACAGCAGAAAGATATAGAGGAAATCAGAGAGCAACTCTTTCCTGAAATAAAAAAAGAACTCTCAGAACTTGTAGCAGATGAAGTAAAGAAGCAACTACAGAAACATAGGCAGGAAATCCAATCTGAAAAAACCACTGCAGTAAAAGAATTTCTAACTGCTTCTAAAGAAGATATTGATAAAAAAAAATAGAGATTAGAAAAATGACGGATTCCCTGAATGAGCAATACAGGAAAGAAATAGATCGCATGAAGCAGAGTCAAAGAGATATAGAGGAAATTAAACTCTCAATCACAAGCTTGC